TGATATTAACATCTTCAAAAAAATCTGAACTTATTAGGCTCTTCAAGTTTACATGGACAACCTTCTGGTCTAGGAGCTGTTTGCAGTACACCAACATTTAAAGGTGTCTTCCTTTTGGCAAGATGGAAATAAATTAAATGTTTGAGGAGTCAAGAGATCTCAGTGACCACCTAGTGCAATCTGGGGTTTTGAAATCTTTATTAATTCAAAAGGACATCTACACTCCTATGTTTATTGCAGCACTATTTACAACAGATAAACTATGGAAACAACCCAAATGCCCAAATATAGATGACTGGATCAAGAAGATGTGGTATATATACACAATGGAATATTATTCAGCAATCAAAAAGAATAAACTCATGCCATTTGCGCAACATGGATGGAAATGGAAGGGATTATGCTCAGCGAAATAAGCTAGAAATAAAAAGAAAAATATTGAATGGTATCCCATACAGGAGGAATGTAGAGGAACCAAATAAGGGATCAGGAAAAAAATAACTATAATAAAATCAAAATCAAAATCAAAGGGCAACCATTGACCAAAGACATTCTGTAGGGGAGGGGAAGGAGAGGGATCAGGAGAGGGCTGGAAAGAGCACAAGGGACTATGGTGATGGTGCATGGGTGAATTGGTGGTGGGAATTTCATGGGACATCATATGTTGTACAAAAATGAAGGATGATGTAATATATATATATATATATACATATACATATATATAATAACATAAAAAAGAAAGAAGGAAAAGAGAAAACACACATGTCTTTTAACCAGTCTAGAATAGTATTTTTGAACATTGTTTGGTCATGTTCTGAGAGAAGATGAAATCTTTTCACCAATATAAAATGTGATGGAAATGCTGTTCTCCAAGAATTCACTTTAATTACTCTGCTTGTAATGTTTCTTCCCAAGAAAGTTTAAAAACCATTTAAATCTCAACATTCATATCTTTACCTGAATAGAATAGGCAAAGGTAGCGGACAAGGGAAAGAGATCGAGGACAAGAGAACTCAGAGGTGGAGTCTTTGGCACTTACACTGCTATGCCCACTCTATACCTGCTCTCAGGGAGGGACAGGGCCACCCTCCAACCAGCTGTGAATAGATGCTTTGAGACCTTCTCATTCTCCCCCTATCCCTGGAGCCCCTCGCTTTCCACAACACTCATAACAGGTCTGAACAGACTTGCCCTGTAGGCCACTCTCCAACCTACCAACCTTCGCATCAATCATCAAAACCTAGCAGTGATACACAACCGCAGGTCCCTGCACCCAGTGAGTCACTCCTAATCAGAAAGGAAGTCATGACACTTTCGAAATTAAAGCATAAAGGACAAATTGTTACTGCTCCAGAATTTTCACCGAATAGAAGACAACGTCTTACCACATTAAAAATAACTTTCAGTGTTAGAATTTCAGGCAGAAGGCAGATGCTCAACTGTCCATATTAGTTTCACAAAGCCCATCCTATACACTGTCCGCTATAAATGAAACCCCAAATCTTATCCATTAAAAGTTGTCAGCAAAACCAAGTCCCCCATTTGAGCATCCTCATAAAACCCCTAGATTTTTGCTTAACAGTCAAAAAGCATAGTGTATACATTGTCCCCAAGCCTTTTGCCATCCACACTCACCTTTAAAACAAAACTTATGAGACACTTCATCACCTACTGATTCTGATTCTTCCGGAATGCATTTCCTTTTTGAACTCTCATCTCTCTTTTTGTAGCCACTGTTATCATTTAGGATTATTTTGGTATGATGGAAGATCAAGAGACCAGGGTTTCAGCTCTGACTGTCCTATTCATTCATGAACCATCTGACCCCATCTTAGTGTGCTTGGCATCTGCATTGGTAAATTGAGTAAATCTGGTGCTCTCTAAGGATCCATCATTAATAAACATTCTCTCAGCCCATTTCGCTGTTGGTAATTGACCTCTTTGTCTAGTACAAAAGCTGTACAAAGTCATCTAATACCTTCAGCTCTTTAGAGAAGAGTCTTTTCTCTAAAGGAAAGAACCACAGAGGTTCCAATCAGAAAGAACATTTGTACTAAGAAAATTACACACCAACATTTCTGCTAGGTGATAAGTGGCACAAAACACCTTGTGGGGTATCCTCTAAACTCCCCAAATACTTCCTTATACTTCCTATCTTCTGTGAAAAGCAAAAAAAAAAAAAGGGGGGGTGAGGGTGAAATAAGAACCCAGGAAAACTACACCTTCACTTCCTGCTTCTAACACTAATGATAATGATTTCTGAAGAAAGCAGAAAAAATGAGCAAAGCTGCTGCTCACGCCATGGTTCTCAACAGTTGCCATAATATGTGTTTGAAGATCTTATTTCTTTGCTGCCAACACAGGAATGGGAGGCAGATCAGCAAGGAGGGATATCACAAGAATTTACTTTCTCTGTCTTAAGAAGAGCCATTCCATTTCTTGCCTGAAGTTTAACTTGATTATGCATTCATTAAAAAACGAGTGATGGCGATGATTAAACAAAAACATCTTTAAAATGCAGAGTTCATTTCAGCCCATTTGGTTTTGTTACACACAAATTGGATTTGCATTGCATCCTGCACAGCAGGTACTCCACTTGAAATCAAAGACAGATGCTTTTAGGGGATTAAAAAGAAAACCTAGAGAGGGAGGGGGAGAGGGCTAGAGATTGAGATATTTTGCATTTTGGTAATAATGGTTCCAAAATGAAATAGTGATCACATTGCCACTTTATCCATGTAAGTGTTTGGGCTGTAATTAATAGGAAATAGGAAAGAAGAACCCCCATCATAATGTGAATCGTTGTCAAAGAGGAACATTTAATTTGCAGGGGGAAAAATGATTTTTCCCATAAATGTCTAATAATACCTTAGCATATTTGAAATTTAATCATAAGTGGCTAAGAATTAAACCATTTGAATTATTACTGAAACATTTCAAGTGGTGACATTAAATGCTTTGTTTGAAATTAGCCATTAATTCAAAAATCTTCTCCAGAGCTGCTGGAGAGTTTAACTCCTTGTCTGTAAACAGAAGTCCCTGGTTCTCACACCATATAATTAATCTTCATACCTTCAGAACACTCACATTGCTGGCTATTTACTCAGGCAACTTTGGTTAAATTACTCTGGACACCATAATTGTATAATTGATATTATGTGATAGTTATTTTTTTTATATTTGGCACTTATTGGACATCTACTGGGAATACTGTTAAAAAAAAAAAAAAACTGTCCAACAGACAGAGTCCCAGGACAGCTCCCCTTTCTGTTATTTTCAAGAAGATTTGTACAGGGCAAACGGTTATTCTTCCACAACGTCTCACAGTGTCTTCCTCTCAAGCAGGGTTTTATTATCACTTCTTGTCTATGTTATCACTGCACCACGTGGGAGAATGTCCTGAGGGCCCCAATTATTGTTCTCCCTATATCTCTGCTCTATGTGCATTTTCAGATCTTCCCATGAAGAGGTGGGAGCATTTTCCCCACCTTTTGAGTCTGGGCTGGGTGTGTGATGTACTTTAATCAACAAACTAGGAGAAAATGATGATGTTCAACTTCTAAGCCTCAAGCCTGCAGGTCCTTTCTCTTGAACCCCTGACTGTAATGAGAACAATTCCAGGATAACCTGATGAAAAATGAGAAACATCTGGCCTAGATACTCCAGAACTCCTGCCAACATCCAACCTACCCCCAGCACTAAAGCCACTTGCCAACATTAAGCTGACTACAACCAAGACCAGTAGAACTGCCTGGCTAAGTTCAAGAGGAAAAAAGTCATGAATGGGAGGGGAAGGGAGAGATACTTTGTTACACAGCAGTGGGTAAAACACACACACACATCTGGATCAGATATGTTTTAAGCAATATTTGATTTGGACTTTAAATGACGAATATTATATACAGTGCTTAACACAAGGTTTATGTCAGAGCATGTATTCAATAAATATATGGCACTTTTTAGCTAGATAGGGATTTATCTATTTTAGGCTAATTGGTCAATATGTTCTTTTTTTTAAACTTTTTTTTTAAAGATTTATTTTTATTTATTTATACAAGCACTGGGTACAGTCAGAAGCATGGGAGTGTGAGAGAATTCACCAGAGCCAGAGTTGGGAGCAGAGCAGGCAGCAGGACCAAGCTACACTGCTGAGGGGAGCAGCGGGTGGCAGGAGAGGTCTGCGCGCCATGTGGGACCCTCCTCCGGTGGCCGGGGAGCAGCCAGGGATCGAACCGGCGCTGCAGAGGCTGCGGGCAGCTTCGCAACCCAGCGCTCAAACGCTGCACCACCAGGGAGGCCCTATTTAAGGCTAATTGGTCAATATGTTCTAATAAGCTCTCCTAGCATGTAATTACTCTTCTACTTTATAATGCTTAGGGAAATAAGAAAAAAGGCATGTGTCCCACTCCTTTTCTCACTGGGGATATCACACATGAAAAATAACCCAAGAACATGAATGAAAGAACTTGATGGAGAGAGAAGCCAGCCTCATCAGCAAGTATATTAACTGGTTGTAGGGAAAGGAAAAATGTCAGGCTTTTCTGCCCTCCCGCCGTCAGGATAGATGATGGATCCTTGCGGTCCTGAATGCATGCCTGATGGCGGGCACCTGGAGTAGGGTGTGGGCATAGGTAGAGGGGATTCACCTGGGCTGAGACTGGGCTTTTAAGGGCGGCATCACGGGGACACTAGGAGAAGACCATGAAGAAGCCGAGAAGCAGCAGAACAAACAGAAGAGCAGAGAAGCAGAGAGAATGCCAGAGAGCCCAGATAGAGTGAGGATTTGCTGGGGGCTGGGAGGACTGCCAGCCTCCCGGCCCCCCAGCATCCCTGCCTCCTGTGTATTAGGTAAATCCCAATAAAAGACCTGCAAAAAACCACTGAGGACTCCAATTGCTCCTTTACCCAGTCTGCATGGGATCAGAAAACCTGCACTGTGCCCATTCCTGACTCTACACTGGTCTGAAAATTCATGCAACATCATACCTGGTGAGACTTACCATTGCAAAATCTTCATGGAAGGTGATTACACAATGAAAGCTGGATGTATTTCAGAAATCACCCTGCCAACTCGCACACTTCTCACATAAATCTTCATATCCATTTCCTGGAAAGATAATTAACATTAAGGGTTACTGACAAAATGCGAGCTTCTGCTCTAGGTTCCATCTATGAGTTAGCTCAGCAGAAAAAAATTTATGAAGTACCATTCTAAAGCTGGGGGAAAAGAACTCAGATTAAGCAACATATCCAAGATCATGTAGCCAGTACTTGGTAAAGACAGAATTCAAACTCCAGAGTCTACTCTCTTAAGAATAAAAGGTTCCTTCCTGTTATCAACTAGAGCCTTTGATTAAAGACTGAGGTTCTGGTGCTCAGGTGAGTTCTTTCCTCTCCCATAAATGCTCTAGCAGACAAAACATATCTGAAGAGCCATTAATATAATGGTTCAAGCTTAAAGTTCCAACATAGTAATTTCCACTAATCTGCTTTGTTTCCAGCCTTGAGAATTGCCAAGAAAAATTCTATTTTCTCTTCTACATGACAGACTTTCAAATATTTGATCCTTCTGTTTTCATTTATTTTTCATCCAACAGTTTTCCTGATACTCATTAACCTGATCAACCTAACAAAATAACAAAATCTCTACAGCACACCCCAAACCCACCCCCACCCCCCACCCTGCCAACCTCAGGAGGCCAGAGCAGAGACTAGCTATCTTTGCAGACTGAGAGCATCTGAGTTCTCTGTTTTGATTTGTTGGTATGTGGCTATTGATTACATGAATTTAAGTAGAAAAATGTAACTGAAAACTTGTAGGGTAAAGAAAATGTCAGGCTTTTCTGCCCTCCCGCCATCAGGATAGATGATGGATCCTTGTCCTGAATGCATGCCTGATGGCGGGCACCTGGAATAGGGTGTGGGCATAGGTAGATGTGATTCACCTGGGCTAAGACTGGGCTTTTAAGGGCGGCATCACGGGGACGCCAGCAGCAGCAGCAGAAGCCGAAGCAGAAGCCGAAAGAGAAGCCGAGAAGCAGCAGAAGGAACGCTAGAGAGCCCAGATAGAGTGAAGACTTGCTGGGGGCTGGGAGGCCTGCCAGCCTCCCAGCCCCCCAGCCAGCACCCCTGCCTGCCATATGCCTGGTGAACCCCAATAAAAGACCTGCAAAAAACCACTGAGGACTCTGACTCCTCCTTTACCTGGTCTGCATGGGATCAGAAAACCTGCACTGGTCCAGTCCTGCCCTTTACAAAACTTATATCAAGTGCTGAATTATTAAAACTACAAATACTACATTGTTATTTTAATGAAAACTACAACATGTTGTATATTTTTGGTGCTTTATGTAAGTGTAAGTCTCCATGCTTGGAAGGGCACATGAGTCAGGTCTATTACCATATTCATAGAAAAGTCATTATTAGTCTATAGTAAGTATACAGAGCCTTGAAGATTGTACAAATACATTAGTTTTCTCACTGAGTTGCCCTCTAATTCATCCAGAATCTGTCTCACAAGGGTGTCCAGCATCGCTCCTCACTGGAGAACCACTCCAAGTTTCTACTGCATTTTAATGGTACATCTGTACTATGAAGTCACGGTACCCACGCTCTTCATATGAATATGGACCTATATCCATGAAGGATGTCTTCCAGATTCTTCCAAAGCACCTAAAGGACCAACAAATCGTTCTCTGGCTAATAATGACCAACTCTTATTAAAGAATTTAAACACTATGGTAATAAAATATCAGCTGCTTTATTTGTGTGTGGGGATTTTTGTTTTTTCATCGTGTTTTTTTTTTTTTAAGATTTATTTATTTATTTATTTATACAAGCACTGGGTACAGTCAGAAGCATGGGAGGGTGAAAGAATTCACCAAAGCCAGAGCAGGGAGCAGAGCAGGCAGAAGGACCGAAGCACACTGCTGAGGGGAGCAGCAGGCGGCAGGAGAGGTCGGGCGCCATGCGGGACCCTCCTCTGGTGGCCGGGGAGCAGCCGGGGATCGAACCAGCGCTGCAGAGGCTGCAGGCAGCTTCGCAACCCAGCGCTCAACCGCTGCGCCACCGGGGAGGCCCTTCATTGTTGATTTTAACCAAGGTCTGTGTCTATAAGGTGCTGACACCAGTATAATGATTATATGATATTAAGCTCATTTCATTTCATATCTAGTTGTTCTTTCATTTGTTATATGCACAAAACTTAAGCTCCTGGGGTATCTCATAAGAGCACAATATATACTTTTAGTATATTATATTATATTTTTAAAATTGGCATTTAAGTCTTTCTTGAATTTCAGGCAGTCTGGCCAACATTTCACTGGTGAGCCCACACTGTCCCATATATTTCTACCACTGTCCTGCTCTTCAATGAAACTCAAAGTCTCCTGATAAAAACTGTAACTGTAGGTTAAATGTATATTTTACTATTATTATTGTATACCAGACATTTTCTAAGTATTACACAAATATTATTTTGCCAAGTATTAGGTATAATAAGAATACACACATGCACACACACATAATATAAAACACTTCTATAAAACATTTTTTGTGTCTTTACTGGTCTTTATATTTCCTCATTTTAAAGATTTATGTTCAGCTCTGCTTGTTTGGAGGGTGTCTCTTATTGAGTTGTAAGCAATTGCTGTATTCTGGATTCAACTTCTTTCATAGATATAAGAAATATTTTTGTTACTTCCTTTTTCATTTACTTAATGATGTCTTTTAGAGAGCAGAAGTTTTTAACTTCGATACAGTCCAATTTATCAACTATTTTATTGTATGTTTTGTGTTTACTAGGAAATCTTTAATGCTAAAAATATTTTTTTTCTGTTTTCTTCCCAAGTTTCTTAGAGTTTTGTCCTTAAATCTATGCCGCATTTTCAGTTTATATTAGTATATGGTAAGAAGTAAGGGTAGAGATTCATTTTTTTCCATCCAGGTAGCTAGTTTTCCCAGTACCATTTAGTCTTTTAATAATATCCTTTCCCTATTGAATTACCATGGCAACTTTGTCAAAAATTCATTGACAATATATGTTTGGATTCTAATCTGTTCCATTGATCTGCATATCTATTATTATGCCAGTATCACACTATGATTACTAGGGTTTTATAGTAAATCTTAAAATAAGGTGGCATCCATTTTCTATTTTCCTTTCTCTTTTTCAAAATTAGTTCTGTAAAAATGATCTGTCTATTCCATGTGATTTGCATTTCCTCATAAATTTTAGAATCAACTCATCATTTTCTATAAAAATCACACACTAGGATTTTTATTGGCATTGAGTTGACTATGTACCGATTTGTGAAGAATTACTTTTATCTATTAAATCTTCCAATCTATGCATATGATATCTCTTTCCCCTCATTTAGGGATTCTTTAATTTTTCTTATTAATTTTTTTTAATTTTCACTGCACAAGTCTTACACATATTTCAGCAAAATTTGTCTATGTATTTCAGGAATTATTAACTCCATTTTTCAAATGAGACAATCAGATTATTGAAAAGGTTGTGTTGGTTACGAAAGTCACCAAGATAGAAAATAACTGAGCCAAGATTTGAGTCCAGAAGTGACTAAATCCAAAGAGCACATTCTTAATTACCAGGTCAGCAAAATTTAGAGCAAAAAGATACAGGGAGAGTAGAATCAGCTAGGAATCTTTCCTCAAATCTCACATGCCCATGGCCCCACTAGACATTCTGATATCTAACTGGAGAGAAGATGAGCAGCCCTAGATAGTTTGAAAAGCTTCTAGGTGTTTCTGTTCTAGCTGGTAGTATGAGAACTGCTGGGTAGTTTAAGTCATCAATCCCAGCATGGCCAACATCAGCCTGCCACCCTTGGTAGTCATTCCCAGCTGGTTTCTAAAAAGACTGACACCAGTAGATAAAGAGCCTTGTATGACAATGAGTCAGACAAATCTTATACAACCAGAAGTGTTTCATAAACAACAAAAATGGATGTTTCTCTCACATTCTGGTATGGTCTCACCTATTCATTGCACGAATAAGCTTGTGGTAGTCATTAAAGATGGAAAAATTAATTTTGAATATAAGTGATGTTTTAAAGTCCAAGATCAATTTGTTGTACTTTTCACTCATTTTCTATAACCTACTATGTTTTCCTTTTTGTCTCTCCTTCTCTTAATAAGCTAATATTTAGTTTTGAAATTTTAAGTATGAAGAGTGGAGAAGCAAATAAGAAAAAAAATGCATGGGAGAATATAGTACAAATTAAGTGTGCCATGTGCTATGTTTATAGAAAAGAAGATCATGGTCATGGGTAATATGTTAAAAGGAGCCACACACAGAAACTTCCCTAACTGAAGAGGCTTGCGATGATACGCCAGCAGTAGGATATATCAGAGGAATATAACAACATGGAAAAAATGTAGTTTGTAGTGAAATCTGTATATAATTATTTAGGAAAGAATGGCTAGCATTCATGAATACTATTTGAATGGAAAGCAAACTTTTAATAGATGTTTTATATTATAATATTAAAATCAATAAATTTATTTATCCAGACTTCTAGGTACAAATACTGTCCTTGCAGAGAATAAAATCATGTTGACTGTTCTCAAAGAGATTATGCTTCGTATTTCATATGTAAAAAATAATCAAGGCTTCCCACAACCTAAATGCCCCCAAACAGATGAATGGATCAAGAAGATGCACAATGGAACAAATACTCAGTGATAAAAAAGATAAACTCCTGACATTTGTGGTAACCTGGCAGAGCTGGAAGGAATAATACTAAATGAAATAAATCAGAAGAAAGAGAAATATAGAATGGTTTCACTTACACATGGAATATAGAGAAACCAAAGGGTCAGATGAAGACAAACCTTGAAAACCAACCATAGATCTGAGGCTTCCAGGAGGGGAAGGAGGAGTAACCACAGGTGATGGGGAAGAGCATAAGGGACTGTGGTGATGGACTATGGGTTCTCTAGTGGTGGGAGAACTACAGTGACCACACCTGAGGGGGAAATCATACACTGTCCTAAAATTAACAATGATATAAGAAAAAGGTGCTTCATTTAAAAATAAATTAATTTAGGGCCTCCCTGGTGGCATAGGGGTTAAGTCTCAGCACT